TGCTAGTCTGCTTAGAATTTGTTTTGTGTTTGAATACTACCTGGGTAAAGTCTTGGATTTTTTTCCTTGATAGTTGATGGGTGAAATTACTTGAAGTTTGTCAAGGGTCTGTGTGTGTGTGTGTGTGTGTGTGTGTGTGTGTATGTGTATGTGTGTGTGTGTACTTGAAGTTTGTCAAGGGTGTGTGTGTGTGTGTGTGTGTGTGTGTATGTGTATGTGTGTGTACACTGGTCCTGGGCCTTGAATTCAGGGGCCTAGGTGTTGTCCCTGAGCTTAAGGTTAGAGCTTAAGGTTAGTGCTCTACCATTTGAGCCAAATTTTTTTTTTTTTCTTTTTGCTTATGTGGTGCTGAGGAATCGAACTCAGGGCCTCAGGCATGCAAAGCAAGTGCTCTACCACTGAGCCACCTTCCCAGCCTTGAGCCAAATTTTTTTGTATGTATGTATGTATTTATTTATTTGTGGTTTATTGGAGATAAGACTCTCAAGGACTTTTCTGCTAAAGCATCAGCAGAGTAGCTAGGATTACAGACGTGAACCCCCAGTGCCTGGCCATCAAAGGTCTTCTTTAACTGAGACAGATAAGCATATTTTGTTTAAATGTGATTTAGATTTACCTCAATAATCATTCAATTTATTTTTAATCTACTGGTCTTTGGGCCTAGCTTTAAAATAATTATGCTTTTCTTAATGAGGTTTTTACTACAGTATAAGAATAATTGTTATAATATATTGAGTATGGGAGTGATTCCTTTTAATTATTAATCCTAGCGGGGGGGAAAGCCTCAGTAGATAATCACATATTATACGTTAAAGCAGAAATTTATCATCGGTAGTATTAATTTCTTACCGTGAAATAATTGTAGCTGTACAGAAAAGTTGCAAGAACAATTCAGGGTGTTTACATATATATTGTAAATACCCTTCATTCAGCTTCTCTAACCTTAACAAAACTCATGAATTTGTAGTACTAGCAGTATCTGTCTACAATAGCAATTCTTCTTGCTTGAGTAGAATAAAATTGAAATTTTTTTTTTTTTTTTGGGTCCAGTCGTGGGGCCTGAACTCTGGGCCTGGGCACTGTCCCTCAGCTCTTCAGCTCAAGGCTAGCGCTCTACCACTTGAGCCACAGCGCCACTTCCGGCTTTTTTTTTCCTGCTTATGTGGTGCTGAGGAATCGAACCCAGGGCCTCAGGCATGCAAGGCAAGCACTCTACCACTGAGCCACCTTCCCAGCCCCTAAAATTGAAATGTTTTAAGACAGCTATTTTCTTCTCAAAAAGATATTTTATACCAGTTTTTCTGAAGAGAACTTATGGTCCATTACTGTTTTCAATGCCCCTTAAAAAACCCATGTCCGAAGTAAGTTATTGAGGAATATAGGTATATTAATTTTCCCTTTATCCTTGCTCAAGATACCTTTTATATAAAAACTTTTAGTGCTCTGTGCTTCATAACCCTTGTTTTTGCAGACTAACGTGGACTTCTGTCTATGCCCTGGAGTCACTTGGCACTTTCACAAGTATTGTTTGAGTCTTAACAAACTCATCTTTTTCCAACTCTCCCTTTTTACCTACCCTCTGTTGCTGAGGTGTGGGATCTTTTCATTAAAATGAGGGGGATTTTGGCCAGGAGGCACCAACAGAAACCATTGCAAATGGTATTTTGGAACTCACTTCCACTTTGAAATGAGGTTCTGGAAGAAATTAATGTCGAGTGGTGTAGATAGTAACATACCAGAAATAATCTTGTGAAATTAATAATTTGTTTATTTCGTTATTTAGTCAGGGTCAGGTCTTGAGGAGTCTTGCTTTGCTCACAGTTGCAGTCCTATTGGCTTTGTCCCCAGTAGATGAGAGACGGATGTGCACCACTCGCTTGAAAATTGGTTCACAGAAATAGAAGTGTTCAAAAGGGAAAAAGAATGCTCAGATTTTTCTCCCCCAAATGGATAGTTTTGGAAATTGGTTGTTTATGATAGCATTTTCACCTTAGTTTATTCTTTTTAACTTTGAAAAATAGTGTGGTGCATCCCTGTATGCATCCCTGTGTCCCAGCGGCTCAGGAGCTGTAGGTAAGAGAGGTGAGATCCAAGTTAGCTGGGGCAAAATAGCAAGATCCCATCTCAAAAACAAGCTGAGAGCGGAGGCCAGAGAGTGTGCTGAGTGGACCAGATTGATCACAATACATTATGAATGAGTGAAAAGGTAACAAGACCACCCCTCTCCTGTGTAACTACTGTAAGCTAGTAAACAAAAACAATGAGAACCCCAAACAAAAAAAAAAAAGCACCTCGCTGAGTGCAGTGTGGTACATGTTTATAATCCCAGCTACTCAGGAGGTGGAGGTAAGTAGGATCATGGTTTGGGGGTGGCCCACGTAGAAAGTCAGGTTGAGGTGCTCTTAGAGGGTGTGGAGGAACTTCAATGAACTGGGTGTCAGCCCAGTGTGGTAGAGCACCTGCCAGCTTGCGAGAGGTCCCGAGTTGAGTTCAGTCCCAATACTGGGGAGACACACAAAGGGGGAGATTTTCCTGGTTTTGAATGTGCTAAAGATACTTAACGATCATTCTTTCTGATGGTTACTTTGCAGACCAATTATTCTAAACTGTTTGTTGTTTGATCTTTAGTATCTTGGGCCTAATGAATAATAGGAGTGCTAAAATAAAAAAGTGTTATTCTGAAATTAGAAGAAACCCTTGGCTGAAGAAACCTTCCTAAAAAAGGAATGTATTTCTGGCTACAGTTTGGCTCTGTTGATTCTTATTAAAAGACTAAAGCAGTTCATGAGACTGCTTGTTGGAATGGAAAGGGTGTTTCCACTGGTTATTCATGCGACTTAGCCAGTACATCACATAGGTGACTGCAGAGTCTGAAGGTGAGGACCGTGTCCTTGCTGCATGGAGCATGGAGGTGTGTGCGCCTCGGCAGTGCCCCCGTGTGCTCCCGCATACTTTCGTCTCTTGCTGTGAGTTGTTGCTTCTTGCTGACAACAGACTGTCTCAAGATACTATTTTTTTCTTCTTCCTTTGAATTAATTTCCCAGTTCAAATATGTTAGGTGCTTTGTTGATGTTTGTAGAATTGTGTCGTTCCGCCCCCCCCCCCCCCCCCCCCCCCCCCCCCGCCCCCGGAGTAAGAGCAAATTGGCCGTGGCTCTCTAGAGCCAGTGTTAAGGATCCAAGACCATTATAAGCACATGGGACTGGTAATATTTGGTCATTTTCTATTGGTTGGTTTGTATTTTTTTTCCCTCTCAGTTATTTTATGAGTAACTGGAATTCCCATATGTTTCTATGCAATATTATCTTTAAGTTGAAATTAAGACTTGTACCAAAGGCTAATTTTTCAATAGGATACTGTAGTACAAACTGACCTCAAGCGTATTATTTGTAAGAAATAGATAATTGGAGTGGATTGATTTTACACATTAAATTGTGAACTGTTATACCCTTTGGAATAAAAAAGGAAGGGCAGGATTCTCCATCATGGATACTCTTTCTGTGAATTGTAAAAAGTGCAGTTTTCATGCTTAATAAATGCTGGCTAATGGCCAAAGCATGATGTCAGGATACGAGTCTATCCAGAAATACAGAGTAATATTTTGCTTGCTATAGTAAGTATGTCACCATAGTCTCTCACATGGTCTAATACATGTCAAAATGTCCCACATCTTTTTGTCCTCCCGTTTCTCAGTTTCTTTATGTTGTTAGAAGGGAGCTTCAGTTCTTGGAAGTCACTTTCAAGAGTTTTCTGAAATAACTTCAGTGATTTCATTTTGTAAAAGCTTAAGTTTAATTTCATTCATGAAAAAGAGGAATAGTTTAAAATTGTGGTTCTGTTAAATCTGAAAATTATTTCAGGCCTTAATAGCCTTCTGTGAGTAACAGTATTTTGTGTACAAGAGATATGCTTCCAAAATGTCACGTCTTAAGGTTACAATATTCTTGGAAAGTGGGAGAGTGTGCTCATGAAAGAAGGCATTTTTATTACACTGGATTATGCAACACTTTGGCCAGCCTCCCCAGCTTCATCTGTTTAAGGGTTCATTTTCGCTTGTTTGGCACAGATCCCAGTAGAGGCCTTCAGAATTGTGGTTAGCAACATGAATGAATTACAAACTTTGGACTAGCTCTTCAGTTAGTAGAACTGGCTTCCTGCCAAAAAGACAGTGCCTTATAAGGGGTCAGGGTAGAGCCGTGGTTCCTTGAGCCCTGCATTGTATAGAACACATACTTGTGATGCATGTTTGCTTTCTTTTAAAATAAAAACAAAACAAAACAGCAAAAGCAGCAGGCTTCCAAGGGATCAAAATAGGAAGTAACAAAATCATGTGCAGGTTTTACTAATGACAGAGTTAAGCAATGGAAAATATGGCTCTGTATAGTTAAAAGTAGATATTGAACCTTTTGACCTACTTATCCTGCTTGTGATGTAAGACACTGGAGCATTGGTTAAAACATCTGTTGCCTACTTGCTTGTATTTTCTAAATGGTTTTAAGACGATTAAATAATAAGTCCTGTGTCCATGTGGTTACCATACTGTAGGGTTTAGTGTTGAATGTGTTAGCTTGTTAAAAAAAAAAAACAACAACTGTAGTTATGTAACTTCAGAAATTGATATGTTGGAATGGTAAAGAATAAATGAAAATTATTTTTCAAAAAACAAAAAGTGGGCTGGGAATGTGCCTTAGTGGTAGAGTGCTTGCCTAGCATGCACGAAGCCCTGGGTTTGATTCCTCAGTACTCCATAAACAGAAAAAGCCAGAAGTGGTTCTGTGGCTCAAGTGGTAGAGTGCTAATTTTGAGCAAAAAGAAGCTCAGGGACAGGGCCCAGGCCCTGAGTTCAAGCTCCAGGATTGGCTCTTCCCCCCCCCCCCCCCCAAAAGTGAGAAGTTTCTGCTGATATACTGAGATTGCAGGGAATTTAGTCACTATAGGAGGAAAATCAATATGGCATTTTCCAGTATAGTTCATTTAACATTTTACTTCCTTTTATTTAGGCAAATACCCTGTCTGGATCTTCTCTTAGTCAGCCACCATCGCATATATATGGCAATAGATTAAATCCAAATCCATCAATGGCAGCTCTCATAGCACAGTCTGAAAACAATCAAACAGGTAAGTTTTGAAAGTTAAACTCCTAAATTCTTAAATTCGTAATTCCTCCCTCCCTTCCTCCCTTATGGGTCCTGAATGCTGGGCCTGGGCGCTGTCCCTCAACTCTTCAGCTCAAGGCTGGCACTCTCCCACTTGAGCCATATAGCACTACTTCTGGCTTTTTCTGCTTATGTGGTGCTGAGGAATCAAACCCAGGGCCTCTTGAAGGCAAGGCAAGCACTCTACTTCTGAGCCACCTTCCCAGCCCCTTAATAATTCTTTAAACTGTCTGAAATATAAATGTTTAAGAAGATCCATCAGCAGGCAGGAATGCAACAATGTCTCCTGTGACTTTTGTGATTGATGTGTTCACTCCTCAGTTCTATGCAATGAAAGTAACATAACACTGGGCCTTTCCGTGAATAGCCTAAACCTTTATTTGCATAATTCATGAAATTGCATTACACAAACTTGGTTTAAAAAAAATCCTGTTAGAGAATTATTACAGTGTTTAGTAATCCTGTGAATTTTTACCACTTGACATTTTGTAACATTTGCCTCTTGTACTGTTTTTAATGAACTACTGGATTTGCTTTGTTTCATTCCATCCTGAAGGATTTGTTGACATGTCCAAGTAGTCATGCCTGTTTGGGGGAAGGGAATGGGTTTAGTAGTTCACCAAGAATGGATCAGTCATGTCTTTACCCTTCAAGGGTCAGAGGTTACCTGACTCAGAATAAGGGGAGGACAACCACTAATAAGTGCAGGGAAAACACAAGTTACTTTTAAGAGGAAATATTCTGTTACCTCAAACATACTTAAAAGGATTAATTATTTTTGTCATTTAAATACGTAATTCTAGTTTTTTTACTTACAGTTTGGATATTTTGTGTTGTATATAATTTTATTCTAGTGCCAGGATTCATGTAACATTTTTATTCTCTTGTAAGGCTCTATGTAAATACATTTTATGATTTGTCTTGGGATGCAAAGTGTTAAAAAATACAAAGCATAAGGATTTGCTGTGATAAGCATACAGATTAGCTGTCGCAGCTGTGATTCATTACTTTAACCGTAGAAATTAAAAGTGGCTGAGGGGAGGGTGCTGCAGATTCAAACCATGCTTCTGTGCTGTAAAATGGAAAGGAATGAAAGAACAGAGCATATTCCATGGCCTTCCACACCCACAGAAACATGTAGGAACAACACTTTACATGCCACAGCTCAGCAGTTCTAAACTGGCAACAAGCTACGTCTACTACTTTCCTGGTAACTGGAAAGATCCTGGAAAAGTTTTAATGTGTGTTTTAGCAAAAAAAAAAAAAAAAGTGAGAGAGAGAAAGAAAATCAGCTTAAAACCTTTTATCTTGTGAGAGCGTCACTTTATCAGCTCTGAAATATTTACACTGCAGATCAAGATCTTGGAGACAATAGCCGAAACTTAGCTGGCCGAGGAAGCTCACCCCAGGGAAGCCTCTCACCCCGGTAAGTGATATTTACACTGCAAAGAATTGGCAAAGTGAAACACTGAGATTTGGAAACTTCTTTATCTCCTATCAGGAGGGTGTACTTTGGTGAGGCTCTATAAAAGCATTCTGTAGATAAGCATGTCTAGACAGTCAAGAAAAATGATTCTTAATTAATCTGAATATTAATTTAAACACATTATTAGATTTCTCAGCTAAAAGGAATTCATTTTTTTTTTTTTAGGTTTCCAATCATCTGTATATTTAAGCTGCTGGTATGATTAATGCATTGGCTTAGGTGATTAGTTTTGCTTATAAGATAATCTTAAAATACCTTAAAAGTTACAAGCTCAAGACTTCTGACATTAGGTACCAGTTTTGGTTACCAGTTTTAAAGGCAGTACATTTGTCTTTAGTTTGTCTCTAGTTACTGTTTTGCATAAATGGAACTCTTTGGTAGTAGTTCCCTAGTATCCTGTAGATTTTTAGGTTATTTGAAGCAGAGTGTGGAAAATACATTTCATGCTTTGAGAAATTATCTTAGATAGTGTATGACATCATTCTAGGAATTTATTAGGAATTTATTAGTCAGTGTGAGGCTACGGAACTTTGTGTTCCTTTTCTTCTAAATGGGGAGAATGGTGTGACATAGCACATCAAATTATAGAAAACAATGGGCTTCATGGAATGCTTTTTTTTCTACTTGTTTGGATTTTGGGGAGGGGAGTGTTGGAATCTGCAGTCAGGCCTGGTGCTTGCTCTGCAGGTGCTCTGAGCCACTCCTCCAGCCCCACGTCTTCAACTTCTGCCCCATTTCTCTAATTTTTTTTCCCCTTTTTTCTTTTGTTTGTTGTGGGGCTTGAACTCTGGGCCTGAGTGCTGTCCCTGAGCTCTTCAGCTCAAGGTGAGTGCTCTACCGCTTGAGCCACAGCGCCACTTCCCATTTTCGGGTGGTTAATTGGGGATAAGAATTTCACAGACTTTCCTGCCCGGGCTGGCTTTAAACCCGGATCCTCAGATCTCAGCCTCCTGACCTAGCTAGTATTACAGGCGTGAGCCACCAGTGCCTGGCCTATTTCTCTAATTTTATAAGCTGACTTCAAACATCAGGCTGGGTGAGAATTTAGAGGAAAAGTCTTTTATATAGGGGAAAACTTTTATTAGCCCTGAGACCTTGTGATGTGGGTTTGTGTTGTGTTGCTTACCTCATGAGAGTGTGCCTATTAGTGAGCATTTTCTTTGCCATTATAAACATTTTTACTTCAATAGTCTCTAACTTTTCTTTTTCTGATGGTACATTTAGTATTTTTCTTGTATATTCTCTGGGGGAACTAAAAGTATATATATATTTTTTCCTGCCTAGACTCTGAAGAAAGCTAAATATCCTTTCTTTGAAAACTAGGAATCTGAAATAGACATTAACAATATTATCTCACTGGTCTGTGCTTTTATGTTGTAAGTACTTCTGTACTGTAATACTTTCACAGAAGAAAGTCATGCACTCTAGCTTATACATTTAGTGAAAGAAGCATTTTTTTGTCCCTCTTATACATAGAACAGCAGTCAAGTTACCTAGAAGTTATTCAAATTCTTAGCATTATTTTGCTAGTATAGTTTCTGTTCTTTTTTTTTTTTTTCCTTTCTGGTTGTGGGACTTGAACTCTGGGCCTGGGCGCTGTCCCTCAGCTCTTCAGCTCAAGGTTAGCACTCTACCACTTTAGCCACAGCGCCACTTCTGGTTTTCTGGTGGTTTATTGGAGTAGCTAGGATTACAGATGTGAACCACCAGCGCCTGACAAGTTTCAGTTCTTATGGAAGTTAATATGTGGTCCTGAGTTATTTTTAGCATGTATTTCCAACTTTATATTATCCTTTAAAAATCAGCTTGAAAGCCGTGTGCCAGTGGCTCACACCTGTAATCCTAGCTAGTCAGGAGGCTGAGATTTGAGAATCACTGCTAGCCCCAGCAGGGAAGTCTGTGTGGGACTTTTGTTTTGTTTTGTTTTTTGGGGTCCAGTCGTGGGGCCTGAACTCTGGGCCTGGGGGCTGTCCCTCAGCTCTTCAGCTCAAGGCTAGTGCTCTACCACTTGAGCCACAGTGCCACTTCCGGCTTTTTTTCATTTTGCTTATGTGGTGCTGAGGAATCAAACCCAGGGCCTCAGGCATGCAAGGCAAGCGCTCTACCACTGAGCCACCTTCCCAGCCCCTGTGTGGGACTCTTATCTCCATTTAACCACCAGAAAACTGGAACTGGTGCTGTGGCTCAAGTGGTAGAGTGCTTGCCTTGAGCTGAAGAGCTCAGGGGCAGCACCCAGACCCAGAATTCAAGTCCTACAACCGACCAAAAAAAAAAACATCAGCTTGTGCTGGCTGCCAGTGGTTCACATCTATAATCCTAGCTATTCAGGAGGCCAGGACCTGAAGGATCATGGGGTGAAGCCAACTGGGAAAATTTTTGGAGACTTTTATCTCCAGCTAACCAACAAAATGCCAGACTAGAGTTCAGGTGTTAAGGGTATCAGTCATAAGTGAGAAAGCTGAGGGAGAGCTCAAGGCTTTGAGTTCAAGCTTCAGTACTAGCACCAAAGTTGTTTTTTAAGTCCAGATTCAACAGTATTCCACAACACAGAAGGGACATTTTAGCAGGGAGGCTGTCCTGTGGAGAGGTCCATTTTATAATTCACATCGAGTTCTGCTAAGCATGAGAAAATGATGACCCGAGTTCATGCTATACACATAAACCAGCCACAAATGAAGAGCATAGGTTATCGGGGAGTAATGTATTTATAAAGGGATGGCCAGCTGTATGTTGCACATGATGCTTGAATATGAAATAGAAAACCCTACCACTAAGGCACACTGACTTGAACACTAGTTGGTTGCTAGAAGAGCCAAACTCTGGCACTTGTCTGTTATGTACCAACAAGTTCTGAAGCCCGGTCTGGTTATCTTACGTGGATGTCAAACATATAAATCAGATTTTTAGTTTCTCATTGGGTTGTTGAGAGAAGATATCTTCTGAGATCATTACGAATGAACAAATGAAATTCTCAAGCTCTTTACTGATATATTATGGTAGGATAGAAGCTAGAAACCAAGAAAGTCTTCATTTACGAATTAAACCCTCCCTTCCTTTTTTTGCTAGGGTTTGAATTCAGGGCTGGGCATTGTCCCTGCATTCTTTTGCTCAAAGTTATTATGCTGCCATCTGAGCCATAGCTCTACTTAAAGCTTTTTGGTGGTTATTGGAGATAAGAGTCTCAGGGACTTTACTGCCTTGGCTGGCTTTGAATCGGAATTCTCAGGTCTGAGCCCCCTGAATAGCTGGGAGTATAGTTGTGAGCCATTGGTTTCTGGCTCTGCCTCTTCTGTTTTATAATAAAACAAACAATATCAACTTCTTTTACAGCCATTCCACTGATTATTGGTGGTATATTTGTGATTTTTCTAGTGGTTTTTAATTATGTATTATGGCTGTTTGCTTTATTTTACAGTTCAGTGAAGAAGAGTGATAATCACTCCATTTTAGGGTACAATATCTTCGAAACCCAGGAACCTGAACTTTCGGCATAAACAGCCTGGTATTAATAAACCTGTACAGAATAAAGGGGTCAGCATTAGTTAAGAAACGAATGCGCTCTCCTCCTGTTTAACTTGAGAATTAATATTTTCAACAGATCCCCTGTAAGCAACTTACAGCTTCGCTATGATCAACCAGGCAACAACAGTTTGGAGAATCTGCCACCAGTAGCATCCAGTATAGAACAGCTTTTGGAGCGGCAGTGGAGTGAAGGACAGCAATTTTTATTAGAACAGGGCACTCCTAGTGACAGTAAGTATTCATTTGTCTTGTCTTTAAATAAAGATAAGCAAACAGGCCTATCTTTTGCAGAAGTCACTCCAGAGTAATGTGAAATTATGAGAAACATAACCTGGTCATTTGCTAGAATGAATCCTGTCCTTAACTGATAATAACAGTATGCTGGGGAAGTTTTCTTGCAGTTCTCAAGTCTCACTTGTAGATTTTGGCAATAAGAATGTATCTGTATCATATGGTTGTTATGAGGGGGAAAATGTCATGAAAAATGTGATTCACATTGCTTGGCTTATATAAAGTACTTTTAATTGGCTGGCTATTGTTCATAACTTTCACATTGGTGCTGTTTCCTCATGGTATCAAGACATCATCTCTGTCTTCTCTAAGCTTAAAAGAAAAGTTACTCACATTAGGAGAACTTTTTAAAAAGGATTCTTAAAGTCAAGTGTGGCCAGGTGTCGTTTTAGTATCCTTAAGATTTTAATGATTAGTGCCATAGGTAGAAAATGCCCCAAAAAGTGAGGTCAGCACAGCTCGCGGTGTGATGAAGTATAACAGTATTAACACAACTGTTTCAGGTGAAAATAAGGTTTCCATCATTTTGGGATAGACACTTGAACTACTTTAAAAAATTAAGACAAAATAATTATTAGTGGAATTAAGGGTCAGAAATGGTATTTTTAGCAATGGGCCCCCAACCAAAAAAAAATGTGAGGAAATTCATGTGAGGCTAATCCTTTCAATGTTATGGCTGGAGGACGGGTTTAGCTTAGTCTTTCGGGCACACTTAAAATTTCTTGTGGGATCTTGAAGAGGAAGGATAAGTTAAATCCTTGGGAAATGACATATGTGTCTATACCAGTAGAGCCATGTCTCATGAAGGCCCTAAGGTCGTGTTAAACAAACACAACTTTTTAATATATCCATTGCTGTGGCCTGAGGGAAGTACTCTGTTATTAGAGGTTGGGAAGTCTAAGTCTTGAAAGAAATGAACACAGTATCTGAAGTGACAGGGCTGGACAGAAAGTCAGCCTCTTTACAAACTGCTCCTTTTTCTGGAAAGGGAGAGGCCACAGGGGTGCACACACAGCGCTCCCTGCTGGGGGACCTGTGGAGTAACATGTAGAGCAGCTGGAATTTGAGGTTTCTTGCCAGGTGTCTGGGGCATATGAGATTGATTTATTTATTTGTTGTGCTGGGGATCAGGCTTAGGACTTTGTGCATATTAAATGTGTGTAGTATCAGTGAGCTACACTGCCAGCCCAGGAGGGCTTAGTTTAAACGACACAACAAAATGTGCTCATTGTGGTAAAGAATATTTAGTGTGATTCTTTACCATTGTAAATATGACTTCAATAAAAAGTCATCACAGACGTTTGAATTTTTAATTAGGTTTACATTTTGAAGGCAAATAGAAATGATCTGAACCTGATGTTTTTGTGTTCCTTTTTTGGGCGGGGATGTGAAAATAGTTTCCAGATAGTACTTCTAGGAACAAGTATAAAGGTAACACTTATGTCAATATAGAAATTCAGAAATAAACTACAATCAGATTTTTTTAGAATTTATACATTTTTGTGATAACTTATTTTTAAGATTATTGCTATATCCACAAAATGTTTAGCCCTAGGCGTGGACTTGTTTTTTTTTTTGTCGGTTGTGGGGCCTGAACTCTGGGCCTGGGCGCTGTCCCTCAGCTCTTCAGCTGTAGACTAGCGCTCTGTCACTTGAGCCTCAGCCCTACTTCCGGCTTTTTCTGCTTATGTGGTGCTGAGGAATCGAACCGAAGGCTTCATGCATGCAAGGCAAGCACTCTACCACTGAGCCATCTTTCCAGTCCCCGGACTTGTTTTTTATTGAAAACTATCAACTGTCTGCTAGTTCTAGGAATGCTGAAGTCATTACACCAACTTCAAGTTGAAAATCGAAGATTAGAGGAACAAATTAAAAACTTGACTGCCAAGAAGGAGCGTCTACAGTTACTGAATGCACAGCTTTCAGTGCCTTTTCCAACAATAACAACAAATCCTAGTCCATCTCATCAGCTACATGCATTCTCAGCACAGACTGGTAAGCATAAAAATGTTGATTTTGTAACTAAGGAAATGTATTAAACTCTTAAGTGTCATGTGTGTACTGAGTAATAATCGGTTACCAGTTCTATAAAGATGTAGAAAGGGAATGCTTGGCCATTTTTGAAGGGCATAGAGAATCCTGTTAAGTGATTTATTTGAATTTGCCCTCGCTTCTTTAGGAATAATTTGATGTTGAAATTGTTTAAATGTATAATCATCTCTGAATTTAAAGGTGTACATTCACAACACAGTAGTGTTATCTTTCACACACCTCTTCCCCTTTAAGTTAGTCTGAGGAATAAGACTTAATTTTTTTTTTTAAATCTGTTATGCGTCTTGAACTAAGGGCCTCAGTGTAGTCCCTGAGCTCCTGTTGTTCAAGGCCAGCACTCTACCACTTTGAACCACAGCTCCACTTCTGGTTTTCTGGTGGTTAATTGGATATTAATCTGTGATTAATGTTGCAGACTTTCCTGCCCAGGCAGGCTTTGAACCCAATTCTCTGATCTCAGCCTCCTGAGTAGCTAGGATTACAGGTAGCACCCAGCAAGACTAATTTCTTAATATCTAGTGTTATTGGTGTGGGCATCAGCATAAGTTTGTTGTTGTTGTTTTGTTTTCCTTTTCTTGGGGCTGAACTCAGGGCCTGGGCACTGTCTCTGAGCTTTTGTGCCCAAGACTACCACTTGAACCACAGCTCCACTTCGAGTTTTTTTGGTGGAGATAGGAGTTTCACAGGCTTTTCCTGCCTGGGCTGGCTTCGAACAATAATCCTCAAATCTCATCCTTTTGAGTCGCTGAGGGTTCCAGGAGTGAGCCACCAGTGCTTGGCAGTGTAAGCTTTCGACAGCCTTTAACCTTATAACATTTCAGGATAAAAAAGGTTTGTTTTTTCTTTTATTATTCTAGCTCCTACTAGTGACTCCTTGAACAGCAGTAAGAGCCCACATATTGGAAATAGCTATTTGCCCGACAATTCTCTTCCTGTATTAAATCAGGTAATTTTTGCATGGTCATGTTCATTCATGTGTTCTGTGAGCAGTAATGTGTTACGTCACACTAAATCGCGTTGCTATTTACTGGTGAAGTCTCTGTTCCTTCTTACATTAGGACCTTACGTCCAGTGGCCAAAGCACCAGCGGTTCTTCGGCTCTTTCTACCCCACCGCCCGCTGGGCAGAGCCCAGCTCAGCAAGGCTCAGGAGCCCCTGGCGTTCAGCAGGTCAATGGCGTGGCAGTGGGGGCGCTAGCTGGTGGAATGCAGACTGTGACATCCACTATTCCCTCCGTGTCTGCAGTGGGCGGAATAATTGGAGCTTTGCCAGGTAACCAACTGGCAATTAACGGCATTGTAGGAGCTTTAAACGGGGTTATTCAGACCCCTGTCACAATATCCCAGAACCCTGCCCCCCTCACCCACACGACTGTACCACCTAACGCAACGCATCCAATGCCAGCTACACTGACTAACAGGTAAGAAACACTGAAATCTGATCTGAGTTTTTAAATGCAACATACTGTCAGTGCTGTTCATGCTTTGGATTGGAATTTGTAATGTGTTTCTCATAGATGTAGTCGAAGATAAAAATGTACCAAAACTTTGAAATTACATATATGCCTTTCGGAGTATATTTATTTTTGAAATTGATGTAATTCAAATTAAAAAAAATCACTTAGTAAAAGTATTAAATGTATTCTGTGCTGAAAACGTCAGTCTTGATCTGTACTGTCTACTTTTAAATGTTATTTTTTAGTTTCCTTGTTTATATTCATGTATAGTAAGTTCTAATGAAAGGTAATGTTACTTTGATTACATATATTGCTTCTTAAGATTGAAGTATAATCTTGTTAACGTTTTAAATCAAAGATTTGGATATAAGTGATAGGCAAATATTGATCTTAAACTTCTAGGAAGAGACTCCCTAGTTTCATTGTACTAGAATTTGATTTTAAATGTTTAGGAAAGGAGACTATAGCCATTCTGTACAGTCCCCATGTTGTACTTTTAGAGAGTTAATTTTAAAGAAATTTGCAGTCGTTTCTCATAAGCTATTTCTTCTGGCTTTCTTTTCATTGATATTGATGCTTAATGGGACCATTAAAAAGAGGCTCAATTTTGCTAGATACAGTGGTTCAAGCCTGTGCATCACTACTTGGAAAGTAGAGATAGGGGAAATCATGGTTTGGGGCTAATCCAGACAACTGTTTGTGAGACTGTCTCAGGCAATTGCTGGGCTTAGTTTGGATTTTTCTTCCTTTCCCCACTCCCCTACTTCCCAGTGTCGAACATTAATCTCTGGTCCTGGCTCACAGTAGAAATTGTTCCTCCTCTTGTCTTAAATATATGTAGTTAGCATGGGTTAAGTTATCCTTAACCAAAAAATGTTTTATAACAAACACATGTAAATTTCTATTTCCTGAAATAAATCTGTGCCTATTTGGTATATAACAAAAAAACATTTTTTTTTTCTTCTTATGCCAGTTCTTGGGCTTGAATTTGGGGCCTGGACATTGTCCCTGAGCTTTTTTGCTTAATGTTAGCCCTCTACTACTTGAGCCACAACTCCACTTCCGGCTTTTTGGTGGCAAAATACTTTGACAACATGAATTCCTGTTACCCACGTGTATAGAGAAAGAAGAAAAACTGTACATAGTTGTTTAAAGAATGTTATAGTTAAAAATTTATTAAATATTAAATTGAAAAGATGTCTTGCATTTCACATTTCTTAGAAGATAACAAAAATAGATAGCAAAAGTAAGAATTTTAATCCTTTTCCAGTGCCTCGGGACTAGGATTACTTTCTGACCAGCAAAGACAAATGTTTATTCATCAACAGCAGTTTCAGCAATTGTTAAATTCACAACAGCTCACGCCAGTAAGTTCTTCCTTTTGATTATATTTGATTTGTCTTAGGATCAAGTGTTCTAAGTAGATGGGTATATTCTTTTGTGAAATAATGTCATGGAATGCATCATCCAAAAAGTTTCAGTTGCCATTTTGCAAAGTTGGAAGGCCTAGAAGTGATGTCATGTTCACAGGTTAAGTTACTAATATTACAGTTTGCATCATTGCACTGTTGTTGGCTCTTGTAACTTGAGATGTGTGTATCGTTTGTCAAGCTTCATTCTGATAGGGAGATAGATGATGCTTTTTTATAGTGTTAAATGCCGAGAAGCAACATTAGGATAGGAGGATAGAGAATAGAGGAGTCTGTCTTTGTCTTGTGTGTCTTTGTACTTACATGGGTCTGATGGAACTCAGGGCCTCACATATGCTTGGCAAGCACTCTGCCACTGAGCTGCATGACCAGGGAGGATCATTGTAGGTTGGTTGTTCGAGCCTCTTTGGAGGGTGACATTTGAGTATGGACCTGAGCAGAAGTTGGAGTGTACCTCTTTGACTTGGGAGAGATGGGGAGGGGGGCAATCAGCAGTTGTAAAAGATAGGCAGGGATGCCTATGCTGTGTTTCCGAACACGGCAAGGCAGGCAGCATGACTGCAGAGTGGGAAGTAGGCCACAGCAGAGGAGAGGGAGGGAAGCGCCTGTCTGTTAGAAGTGGTACCTCCTTGTTTGGCTGTGGTGGGAAATTAGGATCTTAAGTGTGGTGGAAGAGTTGTTATTCAAGGTGTTAAAACTTTGTTTTGGAAATGTTTACCATCAATAGAGAGCACCATATATTACATTAAAGCTCCACACACTTACTATCCTACCGTAAAATCCCAATGTTTTAGTATTGTTTCATCTAGCCCGTTTTCACAAATGGAGCAAGTACATTGAAGAGGGACATGATAATGAGATCACATTTAGCTGCTCTATGGAGTACGGTTTGGGTTGCGAGAGGGGGCAGTAGAGATGGGGAGCAGACTCTAGAGATGTTGATGTCTGCATGGTGAAAATCTAGCATTGTGATATGTTTTGATAAGAACAAGATTTGCCAGACATGAAAGAATCCTCAATAATTAATGTTGACGTCCATGGAGATTTAGAAGAGCAGAAGGAAATCAGTGTTTCAGAGGAAATTGTGGTTTCATTAAGGGTATAACTTTGTATTTCCCACCTGTGGATTCCATTATATGGAAAGATTTTTTTTGAAAACAAAATTTACAGTACTATTAAACTTTTTTTTTTTTTTTTTTTGGTCAGTCGTGGGGCCTGAACTCTGGGCCGAGGCGCTGTTCCTCAGCTCTTCAGCTCAAGGCTAGCACTCTACCACTTGAGCCACAGCGCCACTTCCAGTACTATTAAACTTGTCCAGACTTTTTGTTGTCATTATCCCCTGAACAAATACAGTATAAACTAGTCATACAGCAGTTTTGCATTGTATTAGCTGTTATAGAGATGACTTCAAGCCCTCCTTTTGGGGACAAGATCACATTATGTAGTTGTCCTCGAACTCACAATCCTAACTCTGTCTTCTGGGTGCTGGGATTACGGTTGTGTGCTACCATGCCTGGCCCTGTTTTGCTATTTTATACGAGGGCCTGAGGCATCCTTGGACTTGGGAATCTGGGAACCGGGAGGTAGGGCTGGAACCATTCTCCCATGAAAACCAGCTTTGAGATTTGCTTTGAGGGGCATGTGAAGTGTTGATTAGGCACTTGTATAATTTGAGTCTTGATTCCCAGGAAAGGATGTAAAAGCTGGAACTGTGGGGTCATGTGGTATGAATGATGCTAAGAATGAGATCTGGCGGCACCTGCCAGCAGCTAAGGACAATCTAGAGGAAAGGCTGTCAGCGAGGTGTGAGCAGCTACGACAGTGGTGTCCTAGGGGCCAGGAGAAGTATTTTCAGAAAGGGAACCTGTGAGATTCAGTCATTGGATTTGGTTGCTTAGAAGTTGATGACAAAAGGCAGTGTTTTCTGTAGTGAGAGTAGAACTCCCCAGCCCACAGTTTGCGGATGGAAGTGTAAGCTGAGTCACCTTCCTCTGAGGAGTGTGTCAAGATCTACAAAAGTGAGCAAACGGCTGAACCCAGCCGTCCAGCCCTGGTTCTGTCCTAAGGGAAAGGAATTCACAATGTGCAAAAGAACAACATTCTTGGAACTAGCAACAACTTGAAGTCCGAGGAGACCATTTAATGCACTGTGTAGTCACCCTGCAGAATTTTGTATGTCAATGATAGTGAGCTGCTGGCAGGGACAACACGGGTGGATCCTACAATTATGTGAAGCAAAGGAAGATAAGCGCAATCGGATCCCGATCCCCAGATAACTATCCACAGAAACTTTCACTAAACAGGAAGAGTTCTTTCTGGCATTAGAGGTCAGGGCAGTGGGGAGCAGCATAGGAGAAGGGCAGGAGTCTTGAACTTGGCCTGAGTGAGGTTACACAGTGTGGCATCAACGTGCGCCTTCTCCCACATCCTGCATGTCTGAAAATGACGTTCTAGCTCCAAAAAATGTTTCAGAAAAACTTCGTTAGGTGGTCGAGACGAAAATAGGAGGGAAAGTGAAGCATATAGAACTCAGGACCTCTACTAGTATAAAAAGTTATGGTAGGGGGCTGGGAAGGTGGCTTAGTGGTAGAGCGCTTGCCTTGAGCTGAAGGGCTGAGGGACAGCGCCCAGACCCAGAGTTCAAGCCCCACGACCAAAAAAAAAAAAGCCCCCATGTCAGACTTGAGTGGGAACTTTGAACCGAATATGACAAGGGTTTGACCTACATGATGACTTGCCTTCCCAAAGCTGCTGCTCTGCTTGCTCGTCACGGACCACCTTGCTTGACTACAGGTCTTGACGTTGTTTTGAAATAGGCTGTCCACACATAAAACTGGTATGTTATAATAGATGGCGTTATTTAGTGCAGCATGTTTTCCTAGACAAGAAGGGTGTGTGTGAATACTGATGTTTGAACTCAGAACTTGCTAGGCAGGTGTCCTGCCGCTTTGTTCCCAACAAAGTTCTTGTTTGATTTCTTCATGGTACGAATGTGGTTTACCTTTAATGCTAAAGGAAGGAAATACACAGTGCAGGCATTCCTGACTGCTTTATTCTGAGGCTGGAACTCACTCTGTCCCATGTTTTCACCAAAGGAACAGCACCAAGCTTTTCTGTACCAGCTGATGCAGCAGCGCCACCCGCCAGAGCTGCAGCAGCTCCAGCTCCCAGGCCCGGCACAGATCCCCATCAACAACCTTCTGGCAGGCACTCAGGCACCCTCGCTGCACACCCACACTGCAGCCACCAACCCCTTCCTCACCATCCACGGGGACAGTGCAAGCCAGAAAGTCTCAGTAAGTGTGTGCTCTTTGTTACAGCTCATGAAAGAATGAGAACTGGGGGGGCTAGTCTGAGTTGATCATTTTCTAACCTTTTTAAAAAGCCATCATTTCCCTGATATTTTCTTCTTAAAATCATTGTTTCAACAGCTGGATATTGTAAGCACAAAGGACCTAAGCCAATTTACATATTCCCTAAGTACAGCAATTTGAATTTGCACATAAGGGTTTGAAGGCCTTTTTAATTCAGCAGTTTACAAGATGGAAATATGTTTTAATTAGCAAGTTGTATAGGAGAGTCCAATCAAAAGATAATAGTTGGTGGTTTTTACAGCAAGTTTACTTAATTTGCTTGTAGAACCACTATATAATTTACAAGTATTTGTATTATTTTACTCCAAAATGCCTTTTAAGATTGAATTACATTTGTAATGTAATAATACATGAATCCTTGGGTAATAATCTAAGTATGTTATCAGCTTTTTTGGTGCCTTTCCTGAGGCTTAAAACCTCGGGGCTTGGACACTGTCCTTGAGCTTATTGTAAGCTTTTTTGGTCAAAGCTAGTGCTCTGCCACTTGAGCCACAGCTCAGTTGGAGGTGAGAGTCTTAATGGCTGGCTTTCCTGCCTGTACTTTGTTGAGCCTCAGATCTCAGCCCCCTGACTAGCTAGGATTACAGTTGTGAGCTACCAGTGCCCAACTTACTCCAATGCTTTTTGCTTGTCCTTTTGTTTTGCCAATTTCCTGATTGTGAGTGTAGTTACCACAAACCTTGTTACCTGTCCAGTGTTATTCTTACAGAAAATTTCAGTAGTTCTGCACTAATATAGAAAGTTTTGGACTTTTTTTTCCTATGCTTTATCTCCAGTATTTTTTTCTTGTAGTAAAAAATTAATTATAAGTTAAATTTTCCTGAATTATACAATATGAGGTACATTTTTAATAGTAGAACCACATGATAAACAGAAAAATGAACAAAGCTGCTGGATGGTGGCACATACGTATAATCCCAGCCATCAGGAGGATGAGCAGGACTGTAGTCTGGCTACAGATTGAGACTTTATCTCAAAATTAGTCACTCAGAAACAAATGAGTACTACTTAGCTACTAGAAGAAAAGCAGGGATGGGATGTAATTTACTGAGTTCCCATCTTATCTGCACAGGTACATGAAGTTTCAATCTTTAACAGGCAGTAATCCCACTTTTCATAGATGAGTAAATCAAGTGTCAGAGGTTAAAGTTCAAAGGACAAACAGCAAATGTGGGATCAGAGCTGTGTCTTTCTTGGTTCATTATCAATACCCTGTTACTGCTTCTGTGGAAAAGTGGGTTGGGAGGATGATACTGCATGCATTCTGTAACAACTATATCTTGCAGATGGGCATCCTGCCTTTGGTTACTGTTGAACTTAGTAGTTCTTACTAATGTCTTTATTAGGCAGAAAAGTAGCCAATTTGCAGAAAAAAATAAAGGCTTAACCATACACATTTCATCAGATTCCAGTTTGAGTGTATTACAAATGTTAGCCAAAACTGATTTGATTCTTCATTGGTTATAACTGCAGAGACTTAGTGATAAAACTGGACCGGTAGCGCAAGAGAAAAGTTGACACTTGAAGCACCTAAAGCATTTCCTATCCTGCTGTTCTGGCACTTCTCTGGCTGCTGCCACAGTCCTGTTCCAGCTATGAAGAGAGGCAACAAGAAACCGCACAGCAAAGGATGGCCAGAAGGACATTCTTGTAAGGCTTTGATTTTCTTGTTGCTTTGTTGCACTGAAGTGGAATTCCCACTCCCCATCCAAAGTATTTGAACTTTGAAAGAAAATTTAATAATTATCTCTTGTCAGTGAAATAATTCACATATAGAGAGTTTTATCAACCCAAGAAAACTTTTATATAGTTGGTGCAAAATTGAAGACTTTTTCATTTATGAACTTTTTGGTTTTCTTATACAAGTTGGAATCTGAAATTATCTTGTTTGGGATACAGTATGCTTGCTCTTGTGAGTCAGATCTTAAATTTTAAGGAACTGTCTTAATTCTCCTGGAGTTTTATTCATTAAAAATTAACAATTATATCGGTCATCCAACTGGTACTTTTTTCCTTTCTAAAGAGATCTGGCCTGTTTTGATAATCAAGTTTGGAGGGAAATGTCTGCTTCTGCTAAAGGTAATTTTCTTTCTAAATGCCTTTTAAGTGTTAAGACCTACTTATATTTGAAAGAAACATGTGTTAAGTGAGTTTGAAGGCTGCTGGGGTAACCAGATCAACTCAAAGTGAAAGATTTTTTTCAGAAAGAGAGGCCGCTCTGGAAACTACTGGTAGGGTCTGGCCTTAATCAAGTGCCTGTTAGGACCTCCCTGAGTTGCAGCGGCTCTATGGACAGCAGAGCTCCAACTAGTCAGTCCTTGTAAGTGGCAGGAATGGCTGTGAGCAGCAGCAGCAGCAGCAGCAGCAGCCGCCGCCTTCCCCGTGCTTGCTTGCTTCTGCCTTTGTTGAAAACTTTCTGTGCCACTGTAGATAGCTCAGGCGAAACTATTACCTGGGTATTGTCCACTAATGAGTCACAAGAAATGAGTGGATCTGGTTAGTTTTTGTGTTTTGTCTAAACACCAATTAAAATAGACCCCGGCCACTATGGCTCCATTGACTAGGGTGAAATCAGACTTTACTTACAGTCCTTCCACTTTGGGTAGCCATGCTCTTGATGTGACAGTACAGCAGAATAACAAAAAAAACCGAGATGTAATCTGTACTTAAATGTGTGAGTTATTAGTGGAAAAGACCCAGCTGTAATTAGACCTCCACTGTGTACTTAGCTGGAAGAACATGTTAATTCTGCAATATGTTTCTTGGTTAAACATTGCACAGTTCTTACCTCATTTCTGTAAATAATGTTTTGTGAATCTGTTTTGTATTGTGAAAAATTCATAAGATAACATTGATATTTTGATTTGTAATATTTCTAATTGGTAGATTTAACTGAGAAAAGTAAAATTAATTTATTTTTATATGTTCAGGGGAATTTTAAAGAAAAATCAAATCTTTTGTAGATAATTAAAAAAAATCAGTGGCTTATTTTACTTATTTAACCCACTGGTTGTTATTCTGTAACAATTTGTATAAATGGTAAATTTTGAATGTGTTGTTATTTTACCTAGATGTAAAATTCCACATGTATTAAAATGTACAAAGTTTTTGTTAATAAAATATAATAATGTTCGTAACTCTGTGTCACTCCTGTTTGAGGGGACGGCAGTCCCGAAGGCCACTGTGTAGTGCTAGGGTGTGCCTGGGCCTGGAGCCGCCATGTACCACCAGGTTAGACGTAGACTACACTGCAGAGCAAGAGAACCCTGCTTAGAGAGGGCAGTCAGGACGGGAGGACCGAGAAGGTAATGGTCACACCCGTTTACACAGGTAGAATGCACTACCCTGTCCTTGAAAGGGAAACACACATCTATTTAGAGGTCCTTGGCTTTGGAGGCGTCAGATGTTACTTTCTAAAAATAATGTCTACACTTAACCAAATCAGAGTATACTGATGGGTGTAATTTCATCCCAGTAATTAAGAGTTGAATGAACAAGAAACTCATGTTCTAGTTTTCTAATTTTGTTAAGGGATAAATCTGAGGTTCCTAGAGATTGTTTTATACACAACTTAAAAAAATTCTAGAAAGTCTTGTTCCTAAAGCTGAGGAGTACCACTGGAGGGATGAGCGGGGGCTCATCCACCATCTCCTTCATTTCAAGCTAATGACTGACTATAAATCAAATATAATTAGGACGTGCGTGTTCTTTATTTTGGCCTTCATCTTGGTGAGCATCAGCCACCAGCCTGTGACCCCTTGTGGAAGCCTGGAGTGCTGACTCCTGGGGTGCTTTGTGATGGGAAAGTGGGGATGCTTGGGCAGAGCTGCTGCTCTGTGGTTGGTTCCAAGTCCTGGAGGAGGGGGAAGGAGGGAGGGACATCTACATTGGTCCCCAGGAGGTGTAATGGATGGGGTAGGAGCCAACAAGATGAAGCACAAACAAGCCACCAAGTTGTTTTTCTCAGCTCTCATTACCAAGCTGAAGAAGGGGAAGGAAACTCCCTGTAGCTACTAGCTCCATCAGGGACCCTCAGGCAGGAGAGAGGCCCATGGAATTGTACAGCACTTGCCTTACTATGAAGTGGGATTTTGCTTTTTATAAGTGGGTCATGTTCTTCTGACTAAAAGTTGCAGAGATACAACTATCTCAATTTCACTTAAGGTAAATGAAACAGACATTTTTAACACCATCTTTTTTTTGTACAACAGCCTTTCAAATGAAATAGCTGTGGGCTTCTCTGTTGCTATGCTAGGAATATGCTAGGGTCTCCCGGTGGCTGGTCAGGTATTCTCCCACTGAGCTAAATCCCCAGCTCCAGGAAATCCTATTTTTAAAATAATTTTATGTCTTTACTAGTTTAAGCCAGGCTGGGCAATGTCTCATGCTTATAATCCAACTACTAAGGATGCAGAGATCAGGATGACTGGTTTAAAGCCAGCTCAGGCAAAGGAGCTAATGAGACTGCCATCTCATCAATAAATTGCGCAATCCCAGCTGTTCAGGTGGCCGCAGCAGGAGGCCTGCAGCCTGAGGCTATCTGTAGGCATAAAACTAAGACTAAAGCAAAAAAAAAAAAAATGGCTGGGAGTGTGGATCAAGCGATAGAGCACATGCTCCTCAAGGACCAGACATGGGATTCAGACTCCAGCATGGACAAAAAGAACAAAACTGTTAACTGTCATTGGTTTCCTCATCTTGTTATTTATGACAAAGGAAATGCTATTTCCATACCAATCATGTATACAGCTCTGTAAGCAGAGATGCCTGTGCGCTGCTGGCTGGCTGGCTTTGTGTCAGGTGGAATGTAGCAGGACTTCCTGAAGCAGCAGTTTCCCTTTCATGCTGTGTGAGGAGAGACTGCCTTCTCACTCACCCCTATCTGTGGGCTTTGAGGTTTGGGGTTGCAGTCACATGACTTTTCTAATCCACGTCATCACGGCGCCTCCAGGCCACATGAACACTGGCAAGGATTAGCATTCACAGTTAAAGTCCTCAGCACTGTTTGAAATAAAAAACTTGTGGCTGAGCTCAGCGGCTCAAGCCTGTAATCCTAGTTTCTTGGGAAGGGGAGATTAGGGTGAGTGTGTGCTGCTGTGTGTGGGTGTGGGGGTGTGTGTGGGTGCAGGGTAGTGAGCCAGCGGCTGGGTGCAACACACCTGTCCTCAATCCACTGTTGGCCTAGGGAAGCACAGATAGGAGGGTCACATCCCAGCGTGGCCCAGGAATAAATGTGAAAACAGCACAAGAAGCTGGCAAGAGCAGCTCAAGCGGTGGAACACCTACTTGGGAGTGCAATGCTGGAGTTCAAACCCTAGTACCCCTAAAACAAACAACCCATCAAATTTGTTGGGCCTGGGGAAGGGTGAAGGGACAACTGCATTGTTTTCTAGGCTTGGGGACCATAAATAGGGCCCCAAATAGCATGCCATTCATTAGCTCTTCAAGTAACCTTATCTTTTTGTCAGTAACTCAAATGTCAGGAGTAGCTTTCAAGCTGCCTGAGTTTAATTTCCAGGTTTTGGTCACAGTTCTTTCAGGTAAAGCAGCAGCTTCTGTAAGAGCTGTGCTTACCTGCGGGGTAGCTGCTCCGCAGCGCTGGTCAGGAGACTGCCGGCTGCCTGCGAAGCTGCCAGACCCCACGCCAGGCCCCAGCGACCTGGTGTGTTAATGTTAACAGCACTTCATGGCACCCTGGAATGCATGTTCCGTTCTCCCAGGACTTGAGGCTCACAGAGGGGAAGCCATCATTTGCTGTGGAAGGATGGGCTGGTACAAAGAGCAGGAATGACCTGACGTGGGTAAGGTAGGAGGCACCTGCAGATATCTGCTCAACATATCAGCAAGGACTCACCTCCTCCAACGAGTGGCATGCACAACGCCCTCCAGAAGGTGTCTATCAAGATGCCCTTGCGTGACTGCACCCCTTGCCATGCCAAAGCAAACGCAAGCTGCCCTGTTCTTGGTGTCCCCTCGCCTGCGTTTTTACCAAGGCTCACTGATGACTGGAAATAAAGGCCTGGGCCAGTGCTCAAAGGCAAAGGCCTTTGGCTCTGCAGATTGCCAGTCACAGCTCTGACGTAGCACCGCTCTTGCCCAGGTGTGCAAGCTGTGGGGGCCCACTGCAGGAGCTCAGATGCCAACACATGGTGCTGTCCCAGATGCATCCAGATGGTGATCATGGCCTGCCACGCAGGGAACCAGGGGAGCTAGGAAGAAATGCGAAGAACCACACTGATGCTAGTGTTCAGCTGGGCTGAAGAACTCTGGGTTCCTTAGGGACAAGGATAACTGAGAAAGAGGCAGAAAGTGTGGTTACAGACAGGGATTAGCACACACACCCTTCTTTGGGTGGTAGCTCATCGGTTGGCTCTGAGGGAGAGATTGATAGAGTCCCTTTAGGAGAGGGTCTGGAGAGAGGCAGAGTTGCAGTTCTGTCTGGTAGTTTTGGAAGTCAGGGAAGGACACCGTGCCTTGCATGAATTCTGCTAGTATTTAGATCAAGGGCTGTAGAATACAACCTCCATGTGAGACTATCGACAGTGAAGATCATTGGAGAGGTGCTGGGAGAATAGTAGAGAAAAGGCAGAAGTTCAGAGGTATAGAGGTCAAAATGTTTAGAAATCAGGATGATTCAGAAATCTAGGCTTTATTTACATTCATTTCATTCCCCAAAGAATCAAAGACTGGAGAAAGTTCAAAGATGAACTATACCAAGTCATCAGGTGAGGTAAGGTGAGCCTCCAAAATGCCCTTGGGCACAGTTCTTAGAAAGTGACATGAACAGGAGCAGTATGGTAGGAAAGAAACGAGACAAGACAAGGGCGTAAAGAGCACCGCATGTGGCAAAGGCAACTAACGGTACAGTGGCATATCATTGGGCGGGCGCTGCACTCTACCGAGCTGCGTAAAACCAGTCAAGTGAGCCTGCTTTAACAAAATTAAAAGCAACAGAAACCTTTATCAACGGTGCTGGAAGCTGGAAGGCTGAGGTCAGGGTATAGGATGGCCAGTTCCTACCTTGAACAGCTGTGAGCTCCTGTGCTAGGGAAAGGATGGGCTGGCTTTATGGTCTTGGGGTTTACCTTCCCGCCCTGCCCTGCATGACTTGTAGCACAGTGGCTAAATACTTGCGAGAACAACTTAAAGGAGAAATTGTGTGTAGTTTGGAGGTTCAGTCTGGTCAGTAGGCAGAACATGCTGGGAGGTTCTCAGACAGGAAATAGCAGAGGAGAGGCTAGGGGCAAGATACTACTGAGACCCCCAACATCGTGCCAGCTGACTCCCTAGGCTTCAACACACCTGCCTGTGGGGACATTTCATACACAAACTGTAGCACCCTACAGGCTGCATTGCATTTGAGGTCAGGGATTCAGATTCCTGGGGTCAGGGCTACCTTTCTACTGCTTTATAGGCCTGTGTCTCCTATCCTCCAGCCTCAGCCTCCCACAGCACCATCTGCTGAGCGTCAGCAGGGTGGGCAGCTTGCTGTGAGAACTCAGGTGTTGGGCTTTGCCATTGGGTGCTGCCAACAGCAGCAGAGGGTCAGGGTGGCAGCAGGCTGCCCACACCCAAGGCTTGCTGGCATTGCTCTCAGGCCAACAGGCCAGGCCAAAATGTCCACACCCAATTTTTAAATCCTCTCATTGCTGGGGATGGAACCCAGGGCTTCCTATGTACCAGGAAACTGCCCTGGACTGCACCTGGCCCCAGCTTAACCAGACAAGACAGATCTGCCTGCAGCCACTGAACAGGTCTGGTGGGGGCTCTTTAAGCCAAGCTCTTAAGGGAAACTAAGTCAAGTATGTGGCCCAATCATGGGCCAAGAAGGTCTGAAAGAGCTGGAGCTACTTCACCCTCGATTTTTTGAGGAATGACAGAAAACACACACACACACACACACACACACACACACACACACACACACGCGCGTATCCCTAAACTTCATTTTCCTGTATGACTTAGAGGCAGAAAATAAATGAGCAACGATCCTTTCCACCCAAATCTTGGCCTGTGTCATTATTTAAAGCTAGAATTTCTTTCCCTGTTGTTTTTTTCTCCCTCCCCTCCCTTCTCCCCTCCCCCCCTCTCCTCCGCGGCCCCCTCCCCCACCCCCCCCCACCCCCACCCCCGTGCT